AAACTGGCAAGAGAACTTTTATGTAAATAAATGTAAGTACGTAGCAAAAAATGCATGGAGGGAGTAGATGCTAACTTGTTTTTCATCAAACAAATAATATTGCTCAATGCTATGGAAGAGTTTCACTTGAGATAAAACTAAGGTGAAGTGTAATTTATAACAGAGAGCAACCAAAGCAAAACTAATTGATATACTTACTTTATTGTATAGGACAATGCTGTTTAATTCCTTCCGACTGTCACAGCTCATAAAAAAACTATAGGATCCAAATGAACTCCTACTTTTCTGAATCCTAATTAATTAAAACTCAACACATCATAACGAGGCTCGCGTGCAGCACAACAGGGACGAGCAATGCAGCACGATGCAGAGCCTCGACGACCGCCCCTACATAGGATCTCTCGATGATTCGCACGCACGTACAAACTGCACTGTGATCTTTGACAAAGCACCAGTACAGTACATACTATAGCTAATACCTCTGTCTACCTCATGCAAAACTCTGAAACATATAAAAGTCGAAAACAGAATGACGCTGGCTTCAACTGTTCAGAAATCAGAATGATGAATTCCCTCGTAGACACGCAAATTGAACAGATCTAGATCGCCCAGTCAAGGACTCGTCACCAGGATCAATAGGATCATCATCATCTCTATTCGAAAAGCCACAGGCAAAATGAAAGAGCGGCTCCTCGGCGCCAGAGAGGCCAGCATACATCCACTCGAGGCTGGAGGCCGGGGGCGCGCGGGGATGGGGGCACCACCAGAACCACAAAGGACGCTGGGAAACGATCGTGCGTGCCGTATGATTGGTTGGGCGCTCGATCAGGGAATGCATGCGAGGTCGATGCCTTTGCTTGCCGAGCAGGACAGATCAGTCCAGTCGCTTTGGATTTGATATATGATGCCTCCACCAGCTTTGTCTAGTGGCTTCTGTGGGCCTATGGCTGTGGGAACTGGAACGCCCTGTTTGCTTGCTGAAATTTGGCTTTATCTTTATGCTGATTTATTATAAGAGGAAAATATTGTTTTTTTCGTTGCAAAGTACCGTTGAAATAGTTTTATCTTATTAGTTCCATGGCCCCTGCAGCTCTGCGAGGCTGCATCTGTCGAACCTAACCCTGCAAACTAATTCACCCTGCCGTCCGCAAGTGATTTGTAATTTGTGTGAGGTGCTTAGCCTGAAGCTTTCCAACTGAATCGTGTTGCTTATAGGTATAGATACGCACACGTACACACCAAACAACAATCTATATACTCGTAGTATGTGGAGAAGAGAACAAAGCTTTGATTTGTTTATATATATATGCGAGCTGGCCCCACCGGTGATCTAGCTAGCCCGACATCTGATGACCCTCAACCTTATCCATTGCTGAAAATGATGTTACGTAAATGGAAATATCCTGCAGCAGCGCGAGTGGATGAATAGGGTAAGCTGTTAGCCGTACGTCAGTGGTGAGTCGGCACAACCGACCTGCCGGGGGGAGTCACCTCGTCACTCCAACGGACACACACCACATACACAAAAATAGAAACTCTGTGCGTAGCTGATGACTACAGACAACAGTCCTAGCTAAATTGGTAAAATATAGGTCTCTATGCATTTTTTTCTTAAAAAGAAATTTTATGTTAATTTTTGCGAATTAATTTTATGTTAAATTGATCTTGATCATTGCGGTGTCAACAATTTTCATAGGAAATAGTCTAGAAGAAAAGTAACTTATACGACTCGTATATCTCCGTGTAGTGTGTACCAAAAAGTGTCATTCTGATTCCACTCTATATTCATATGCCTGGTTTTTTTGTCGTTTAGACCACATGCAAATTTATCATTGTTTAACTATAGAAAAAATTACTAATTATCTTTTTGTTTTTAATTGTACTAGTTGATTGTGTAAGATTGTTGCCTAAAAATTCAGCCACCTAAAATATAGCAACTCCCTAGTTTGTAACTAAATTTATAAAAAAACAAGCAATATTATTACTAAGAAAGTATACTTCATGATACATTTTATTGACATTCATTTATATCATAAATATTAATATCTGTTTTATAGATTTGGTTGAATATAAAATAGTCTGACATGAAACAAAACATGACCAGTTTTTTTTTAGGACAAAGAGAGTATTATCAAGTAAGCTACCTCAACTGGCGGTACAAATCAGTTATCAGTGATCATGTATGCTGTTGACGTAAACGGAAGAAAGTAAAATAAAAGAAGAGGGAACCTAGCAGTACCACTTGCCCTCTATATATACTTTAATTGTTTACTAATCCCCCATTTCAATTATAAGACGTTTTGGTTTTTTCTTTTACTATGTATTCAGACACAATGTATAGCAAAAATTACATATTAAAAAATTCAGTGTTCCATCCCATAGGAGTACACGTCAGAACCAACCGTAGGCAGGGTGCTTTCTTATCCAGAAGCAGCGAAAACCCCGGCCCGCCCTTTGCCCAAAACCAGCGCCTAGTCCTAGTCAGCCGGTGGCTCCCCTCGTTGGGTTGCCGCTCGCAACTGGGGAAGGCCGCAACCCCCTCGGCCCCCGGCAGCGGCTGCCCCCACCACCACCAGTCCACCACGGCACCACCAGCGTGGCAGCGACATTGCCTGCCGTCCTGGGGTGTCCTTTGCCTACTTAACCCGCGAGGACACGCCGCGCTCCGCAGGCGAGCTCAAGCTGGGATCGGCCCGTCCGCACTCCGCAGAACAAGTGCACGCGACCGGGCAACATTTCCCGCTGCTGCTGTCAACAAGAGACGACGACGACAGCCACCGTACCAAGGCGATCGAGCTCCGGCCGGTGCTGGATTCGACTTCGACCTCGACGATGGGGTTCCACCTGCTGGCGTTCGTGGCGGCGAGGGGGCTGATGCAGGTTTTCAACCTCTCGGCGCCGCTCAACCTGCGGCTACCGCTTGCGCGCCACCTGCCGGAGGCCTTCGCCGTCCTGTACGGCGTGCTCGCGTCGCACGCCGCGTGGCTCAACGACGCCCTGGCGCGCGGCGCCGCCTGGCGGCACAGCGGGAGCCGCGGCGGCGTCGACGAGTACGTCCGCTACGCTATGCTCAGCATCTCCGACTGACGCACCGATGACGGACGACGAGTCGACGACGGCCAAGGCGCATCCGTCCCTGCGCGAGGGAGCTACCCGCGTGGTGTGTCCGTCGTGCTCGTGATGGCAAGTAGTGCATGCCGCCCTTTGCTAGCTTAGCTTAGGCCATTGCTCGCTGGTTTGGTTAGTTTCTTCTTGTTCGTAGCAAGATTTTTGATAGCATCCAAAAGATTTGGGAGATTATTGTAACATGCAACCATGTTTGGTAAATACGTACAGGAGTGAATTTTGTCGGAATTTTGCATTGTTCGGCGAGTGAATTTCCTCATCGGTTCGAAATATATATTGATGGCCTCCATCTCTTTGAGCAGCTAGCTATAGCTAGCTAGCTCCTCGGGTCGAGAAAGGGCTCTGACAGGGACCAGAAAGACGCTGGGAAACGACGATGCGCCGCCCGTATGCATGTACTCCGGCCCATGTAGGATACCACATGGATTGATGGACCGAGAAAATGCAACCTGTGGGGATTGGACTGCGAAGTTGGTGCATGTGGATTGTTCTTCACCTACCTTTTCCTCAGCTTCAACAACGGATGGATGCAGTGTGGCCTGTGGGGGCTCAAATGTCAAATCTTGTGCAAATACCCGACCGACGATCCTGCACTGCACCTTGCTTTGTGATCTGTACACGCAATATATGTACACTGACTAATCAATTGTATCTTAGAATATAGTGTTGCTTAGATCTACACCCAACCGATATATTTGTGAGAGAAAAATATAGAACACATGCATTAGTTTTTTATACTGTTGGACCCATGTGTGTGTGTGTGTGTGTGTGTGTGTGTGTGTGTGTAATATATATATCTGGTACAACATGTGAGATGCTGACTTATCCGTTCCTGTTGAAAAAAAAGGAGACGTGCATGCGTTTCTCCCATCTAGAGTAGTGAAAATATAAAACTGGGAATTCTTCTACCTTGTTCTCTCTCGGAGCCTGCAGCCTGCTTGACCCAGAACATCATGCGCAAGCTGCACCCGGTCAAGAGGGTTAACGGGGTAGAAGAGTCTTCTAAACCAGCTGCTCCATATACATTTAACAGAGACTAACTGCAACTACAAGACCAACGCACCTCGTCATCTAGCTCTCCGTCCATATCTCGTGCTCCTCGTGCTCGTCCATGGTCTTTGTTAGACACCGATGCCTAGCTACTCGGAGTTGTTTCTTCACGAGAACCATTTCTTGTCAACCAACCAACAAAACATTATATAGATTTTGGTGAAGAATAGAATAGAGAAAAAAATACTTTTTATTTACACTACCAGCTAGATCTAAAAAACATAGGGATTTGCTAAAATTTAGGTGCATGAATTTTAGTTTCTTTTCAGACGACGGTTATTACATATATTTTATACTAAAATTATAGATTTCGTTTTGCAATTTGTGTATTTATAATTTTTGGTACCGAGAATAATACCCGATAGACAAAACCACAGGCCCGATAAAATCTGATTTCTATCGACACAAAGATAATTAACAATTTACAATTATTTCTATCGGTAAACAAGGACAAAAACATGTTATGACACAAAGACAAATAACAAATCATAAATTTACTTGTACTAGTTGGTGGCACACAAGAGTGTTATTTGAAATCATCTTAAAATTCAGACACCTGAAATATAGGAGAAGTGAAAAACATATCGTTTCTTACATCTCAACTCTCCATATTCAATCTCCATCAAATCACTCCATTAAAAAATAAAAAACATGGAGCTCTACTGATATCCTAGTCACGCCCACCGTGGAGAGGGATACTAATACTACGCCCACCATGGAGATGGAAAGAGAGATGCGACAACGAACTTCTCCTACATGCAAGCACACGCAGTAGCGGTGGTGCTGCCGTATAGACTCACCCCAGACAGACGGCGGCGGTACACATGCTGCTCCTAGGCCTCGCCGTGCCGGCCGTGGTGGCCGGGTTCCTTAAGGCGTTCCGGCTCGCGTTCCTGCTGTGGCCGTTCAACCTCGCGCTGCCGCTGGCACGCGACCTGCCGCGGGCCTGCATCACGCTCCGGGGCATCGTTTCCTTCTACGCCGCCGGCCTGCGGGGCTACGTCGACGGCGCCCGGCGCGGCGTGCAGCTGCTACAGGCGCGGAGCCAGGGCCAGGGGCAGCAGCAGGACGGCGCCTCCTCCTCGTCATCCTCGGCACGCGGCGTGGCGAGCACGCGCGAGGATGCCGTCGCGCATGCCATGCTCGCCTTCGACGACATCTACTGATCTGCAAGGGTCGTGTGTTGCTCTTGGATCGGTTAGGTTAGCTTAGCATGCCATTTCTTGATTCCTTAAAATAGTTTCGTCCTCCAAATATTTTATTTCGTCAGAATTTTCAAGTCCACCTTGTTACGTGGCCATTTTGGTTCTCTCAATTCCTACATATACTCTCTTGTCTGAACCTTCTATTCATTTTTGTGCAAAAATTATAATCTGTCGTGCAACGGGGACCCTCTAGTGACATTATACACAAAAAGGTTAGGTGTTCATGACTTGATATTGTTGGGCTCATCGCCAAGCGCGGTCTAGGATGGAGGCCGGCAGCTCATCTTCACCAGGATCAAGCAACACCAATTTGATCGAGATTTTTTTTAAAAAAAAATCAAGATTCTCCAACTTCGTCTAAATATATACTAAATGAATACTCCTTACATGATGGATTTAATAAACCAAATTTAATGTAGTTTTTCAACAAATTTCTTTCGCACCGGGGAAACAAGATCCGAAGCAACGACAAACGATCCTGAGAAATTCTGAATATATATTGTGAAAAGTGTTTAGCACTGTACTCCAGCTTACTCAAATTATGAACGTCGACTATTTGGAAAAAAATGAGAAAAAACACTTGATCTTATTAGATTTTGGAGAAACATGTGGCTCATTAGAATGAAGAGAGATCCTCTCTTTGATTTTTAAGGGCATATTTGGATCCATTAGCTGCTAATAGTTAGCAAGCTAATAGGTCACAACTAATATTAGCTACTATTAGCTAGTTTGGTTCAAAAATAGTTGTTAGTTGAGTACTCCGCTAATAATTTGGTAGACTATTAGACCTTGTTTGGATGGATTAGGACTAGTGATTAGTTAGGACCAGTGATTAGCTAACTATATAGTAGTTATAGCTAGCTAAAGTTTAGTCTAGTCATGTTTGAATCCTCAACTAATTGTTAGTCCGTGATAGCTGGGTTCTATGGATTAGTGAGCTAACAATTAGTTGAGACTTTAGCTGAATTTTAGCTCACCTATTAGTCCTCCTATTTGGATGCTCAAGGGCTAAAGTTTAGCAATAGCACAAGGGGACCTGTTTGGATCCAAAGAGGTAATTATTAGCAGGCAACTAACTATTATCTCTTTGATCAAACAGGGCCTAAGTATTTATTCTAGTTTGGATCACTTTTTTTTTAAAAAAACATAATACTCACGGAAACATAATCTAATAAAAATCGGGCGAGATTCTAATAAAAGTTATAAATTTTTGACTTATAGAAGAAATTAACGACATGTTATGGGTTTGGATCATGGATGGAATTCTGGCGACCATCCGAGTAGTAGATTTCGCCATTGGAAGTTATCTTGTTTTAATTTATTTCTCGTCCTCTGAACGAAAACTCGAGTTTGAATCATCAATCGTCCATCCTCGAGCTGAAGATTCCTCGTAGCGTCCGCGAAATCATATATCTGAAACCTTGAAACTTCGTGCAGGTAGGCACAGCTGTTCCGGCGATTTGTGTGGACTGTGGACGCAGAACAATCTCCGTCCGCCACCTTGGATCCTGGATGGAACGCAACGCAACCGTACCGCCGGCAAATCACACCAGCGGGCAGCGACGTCGTCGGCACGTCGCCGTCTCGTGCGAAGCGCTAACCCACGAGGGCAGACAGTTCTCTGGGGCAGGGAGAGTTGCATTCGAACGGCGCGAGACCCAGTTCGCTCCCTCTGGCCGCACTCGCGCGCGCGGTCTTCGGCGGCTTGCACGCCGCGTGGCCGCGCGCCGCCTATGCGCGTCGCACCGTCTGGGGCCGCCTAACATGCACCACCACCGCCGCAGGAGCAGCGGGGAATGGGGATGAGCTGATGGGCGATGGCATCGACGAGAGTGACGACCACGCGTCCGGTCCGCCAAGCATTGCTGCTACTAGGTTTACATCTTGCATTACAAGATTAGGCCGTTGGGGAGCTTTTTATATATTGTAATAACAATGAGTTATTTGTAAATGCATGCAATTGTTTTCCTCCCAAGCATCTTGATCGTCGGCACGAAGAAATGACGACGACGTTACGTTAACGTGTGCTTCTGCATGAATACTGTGCATGTACGGTCATACAGAGTTACAGACTGATCTGCGTGTGATTATAATAAACATATATACTACTTTTATTAGTGTGTCCGATGGTGACCAACCAAAGGTTGCGAATTGCGCTGGATTAACGACAGTGTCAGTGGAGGCCAACTTACCCATTTGTTGCGTTATTACGTACTACGTAACAGTTATTATTATTATGGTTGATTAGCACGCAAAACCAACAGGCCCGCAACATTCGTAGCAACACGGCCACGGGGTGTTGGCGAGGCGTGCAGGCTCGGCCACTTTTATTATCTGGGCTCGACAGGTAGGTCCATCGGTCCGGTGGGTAATTTGGTCCATATTTTAAGTGAGAAATTTTGATATTTAACACTGAGACATCCAAATCGCAGGTATTTTGAAATTTAGCCTTGCGCGCGCGAATTCTTTTGATATTAAGGATTTTGGAGGATTTTTCTCGTTTGAAAATTATTTGACCTCCATAAACTCTAGACGACTTTCTTTATGGGACAGACGAAATAGCCGGCTTGTCACCCACTGCGTGCTTGCATTGCCTGTATGTGATGCCAAGTAGGCACCCACTGCATGCGATTTTTGCATCACACCAAATTGCAAGATTTTCGGTATGCCATTATACGTGATGCCAAGTAGCCAATACGGCGATGATCGATCGACGCTTGAGGTCGGATATGGTAGTATAGGCTGGCTGAAACCATGTCGGAGGGTGCTCACTTGGCCTGGACAGGACAGGGCCGGGTTGCGTTTTGTCTGCTGTGCGATTGGTTTCAGGCTTTCAGCTACGTGCACGCGCTCGCAATCTCGCATGCGTGCGTGCAGAGCACAGGAGCATGCACGAGTGCGTAAACACACAACACAAACAACCACTGTCTCGTGTTCCTGTCACTAGCTCTCGGCCGTACCCTTCTCTCTCATGCACGGGAGCTCTATCATTTGTACTACTAATTTAATCCGTTTCTTATAATTAATACAGTTATGGTTGACAACGAAAACAAAATCAAAAGCAAAAACACGTACACTAAACATACAATCTGATCCAAATATATGTGGATATCTTTGCACACTCAGCAGATCCTACTGCTGATAGCCGAAATCCATCCCGATCCAAACTGAGAAAAGCGGCTCCTGGAACCAAAAGGCCAGCACAAACTGAGAAAAGCGGCTCCTGGAACCGAGAAAGGCCGAGCCATCCATCCCGATCCAAAAAAAAAAACTGTGGAGAAACGACCATGCACTGCCGGCCCGCCTGATTGCCCACGGAAAGCGACGCGGTGCTTGCCGGCCGATCCATCGTCCCGAGTCCCCCACCTATAATGATACTTGTTGGTGGGGCTCAACTCAAGTCGATCTCTTGCAAATATCTATCCGATGCATGCAGAATGCAGCTCCTGGCGAGCCTGCACGCACCTGGCACGAAACCTATTAGTCCCAGCTGTCCGGACGCGATCCATGTGAAATAATTACACTTATCCTGAACCAACTCCATGCATGGTTTGGTCGCTCGTGTGTTGTTCTTGTTCAGATATGTATGTAGGCACCGCGTCTGTTTTTGTTAAAGAAAACGAAACCTTGTGGTGTGCATGTATGCTTGTGTACTGCTGGGGTGGTGGCCCGCGGTGGTGTGTCCAAATCACCTGACGCATCGGTTCTGAAGAGACGGTGTTCCCATCTGCAGAAATGGAACGCTCGGTTCTTTCTTCTCTTGCAGTTGCAGGGCTTTTGCTCCTTCCGAAAATAGCCATGCCGGTTGATGGGGACAAGTTCAGTGTTGGCGTACAGGTGCGATGCCCAAGCCAATGCAAACATCCGGTTTGTTGAACTGCGGAAGTCAGGGAGCGAGGGACAGTTTCTTTATTTTGGCCTTCGCATCAACAGGTGAACTGGGCAACTCAAGAGTTTTTCCTCTTTTTGCATGTGGTAGAATTCGTTCCGTCACTATATGTCTATATAGGAGCACATAATATGTACTCGTATTATGCTTTGACAACATTTCACAGTGGATATTTCAAAGGCGTACGCGTACCTGATACGTACAGTAGTATTGACTATTCAGCAATACTACATGCATGTCATGTGCATCCGACGTTGGTTGTTGGTTCAGACTTCAGACTGACTACTTTGGTTATAATCCATGACTGGAAGACGTGCTCACAGCAATCATCAAGTACTACCAATTATCCGATCTGACAAATTCCAAATTTCAGGGAGGAAGTTCAAATCCCTTTTTTAAGGCTTGCAGCGCCCGGACGTCCCGACGGACGGGTGTCGGACACCCACACCCCGCAATCCGTTTCTCAAACCGTTTTGCACGCCCATATGGGCCCCGCACTGCCCCGAACATCACCAGTATCGAGAAGAGAGGGAGGGGGCAGCGGATGGCCAACCGGCGCCGGGAGGAGGAGACACCGAGGCGATGCAGCAAAAGCGAGGAGGAGAGATGCAACAACACCCGATCTACTTTTGAAACATCCAAATACAATATACTTGCGATATACGTCTAAACACAGATAAAACACTTAAAACATGGTTCTGAAACTCTTGAGAAAAACATTTGAAAACACTTGAAAACCATTACAAACATATGCAATATCCAGATAAAACACATGCAACATATGTGCGAAACATATGCAACATCAGATAAACACACTTGCAACATACGTCTGGAAAACATAGATGAAACATTAGTAAAAGACCTTTTGCAACATACGTGTATAACCATTGCAACATACTTCCTCCGTCCCAAAATATCTGTCATTTTTTGCTTCCCGAGAAACAACTTTGACAAAATATATATTAAAAAATATTAATATTTATGGTACATAATTGGTACCATTGGAAAGATATTTGAATCTAGTTTTTAATAAATTTATTTGGAGATACAAATATTGTACATATTTTCTACAAATTGAGTCAAACTTGCGGCATGAAAACCAAAAGCGGTAGATAATTTGGGACAAAGGAGTATGCAACATCGCGATCTATTTTTGCAACATCCATCTGAAACATTCGCCACATAACTCTAAAACATCTAAAATATATTCTTACAACATGCATTTTTAGCAAAACCTAGCACCTAGGTGGGCGGAGCACTACACAGCGAGATCCGGCTGTGTGGTCGCGGTGGAGAAGGAGGATGGCGGCGGGCGGGCGGCTGTGCGGCCCTCGGCGAGTGGCTGCACTGCCCCCGGTGATAGGGCGCACGTGGTGCCCCCTAGCGAGCGGTGCCCACGGTGGAGGCAACAACAATAACCGGCTAGGTGCGGCCTCGCATGTCGAGGCGACAACGGCTGTGCCGGCGCGGCAACGGTGGAGAGGAAGGCCGGCGGGAGGCACGGTGGAGCCGGTCGCGGAGCGCAGTCGCGGTTGCGTGAGTCTTTTTTTAATAATATACGGTGACCGGAGGGGAGCGGATAGGAACCGATAGGCTCCTGGACATTGGGTCCACCAACAGGAGCGTCCTGCGTAGACGGACGTTTGATTGTTAGCATTACTTTTTTGTGTGTGTGTTTTGCTTTTGCTTCAACCTGGTCAAATGGCTAATTAGTTTTTTTTTCTCTTCCTTTTTTTTTATAATTTTGTAGTGACGATTCGTATGGAGCGTCCATGGACTCTTGTTATGGATTCTAAATGCCTATGCGCGCCTGCATCCAACATTCCAACGCATAAGAGAACTGTAATTTTTCTTTCTAACTATTTCTTCTAAATTTAATCAATAATCTCATACGTTAGATGTGTACACGTGAATATATTGTCTCATGAGTCCAAAACAGATGCCTACAACTGCTCCATGAAACCGTTCACACCATGGGCAGATCTAGGGGTATACCCTGGCTCCCAGTACGTGCGTATATTTATATATTGTAAAAAAAATTATCTATTTAACCGTTGACTAAAATTTCAATTAATTTGTATTGTAGGTCTATTTTATATCTATATTTCGAACTATCATGTCGTTTGAACTAGTTTTATTGTAATTTATAGAAGTTTTCATTTTCCAGCTTCATCTTGGAAACTATTTCGATAAGTATTCTAATTGTTAGTGAGGTAATTTTAGTCCTAACCCATTTAAACTTGGGCTAATAGATAGGCTAATTTGTTAGCCAAGTATCAACTAGCTGTTAGCCAAATAGCTGGCCAACTTCAACTATCTTGTGATTTAGTGCCTATATACTGAATTATGTTGCATAATTTATAATTATTTACCGAATTGGTAAATGATCTGTCGTTGGTTCAAACTGATTTTTTTTCCCGTTAGCCTGCTATAGAGTTCACTCCTAAATCCTAAACCCTTGGTTTTATGAATAGATTATGCTTGGACCAAAATTTACTCTGTGGCTGGTTCCAAGGCGACAGCCTGATAATGTTGTACTCTCTCTCTCTCATAAAAAATCGCTATGATATTCATGCTGATCAAACTTTTTTATTAATCAGGTTTGTAAAAAGTATTAGTAATATTATATTTCTAAATGAGTTTATTATAAAAATATAGTCAATAATATATCTAATAATATTAGTTATGTATTAAAAATATTAATTTTTTCTTATATATTTAGTTAGGATTATGTCTAGACAACAACAGGTTGTTTTAGTTTCTCCCAACAACTAGATTTTTTCCATGCACTTACAATGTTTTATAGATATTTATAATAATTTTCATTGTAATTTATTAGGCAGTGATGTAATTTAGGTATTTCTATGGAATGCAAATTTCATAAACATATATACCAAATGTTTTAAAAAAGTTTACAAATTATTTCATAGATTACATATACCTGTCCCACTTCCTAGTGGACCGGATCCTCTGCGCCGCCCGCACACCCACTTCCATGCCGCACGGCCACAGAGGATCCTGGGAGGGAGGGCTACGCACAGTACCACTTTCCATGCCCACGTACGGCAGCAACCAGTGCAGTTGGAGGTGCGCGCGGATGTGTGTCAGATATCCAGATCGAACGGCGTAAAATCCGGTTGTCCAAAACCAGCAAAACAACCGGATGTTGTTTAGCAAATCCGTTTAGTTAAAGTTAAATTAGTTGAGTTGTTAAAAAGCGAGAATGTCATTTCTTACAAGTAAGAGGGAGTATGGACGTGTTTAGATGGTGAAATTTTTTAGTTTTAGCTATCGTAGCATTTTTGTTTGTATTTGGCAATTTAATTTTGGCGAAATGTTCGCGTTCGGCTGGTACGGTGTTGAATTGTTTTAGCTTATTCTTTCAAACAGAATATTATTCAATCATCCAAAATCAGCTGAGATACAGTGCTCCTATCTATCAGCTGAACACGCTGATTAATTACAAGTTATGATCTGAACAGGGACCATCATCATCATCAAGCCATGCCTTCCGCTCCACATTAGTCTGTCCCTAAAATAAATAATCGTACGGTTGCTTGTAGGTCCAGAACTAGGGCGCGTTTAGTTGGCCAAAATTTTTGGTTTTTTGCTACTGTAGCACTTTTGTTTGTATTTGGCAGTTAGTATCTAATTATGGACTAATTAGGTTCGAAAGTTTGGTCTCGCGATTTCTCACCCAACTGTGCAATTAGTTTTTTTTTGTCTATATTTAGTACTCCATGCATGTGCCGCAAGATTCGATGTGACACTTTGAGGTGAAAATTTTTGGAAACTAAACATGGCTAGAAAAGAATTCCTGTGTCCTGTCTCCAACGGAGAAAACGACGACGTGACATCGGACCCTCAAGAGAATAATCTCCCGACAGAAGCAGACGTCAGCTAAGAACAACGCGATATCGCCGGCCATCTAGATTAATCTGTGACCGGCACCATCTATCGATCGGCAAGAGGGGCAGAGGGCTAACGGAGTCCAAGAATCTGTTAGACTCTCGTTAATCCAGCTAGGTAGTCCAAAACAATCAGCAGTGGTGGACCAATTATATGTAGAGAGAGAACCCCCTTGCCACTGTCCGCAAGCAAGGTACGTATCCGTCCATGGCTTCGCTGACCACCAACGCGTCGCTCGATCGAGCTCGTCGGGCATAAGCACACAGGGGATGAGGGATAGATAGACAGATAGGTCCAGTGCAAGCAAGCAGACTGCAGACACTCCTCGCCGTCGTAGCAGCGGTGGTGGCTCATCGACGATGCCGGTTCACGTGGCGCTCCTCGCCGTGCCGGCGGTGGCGGCCGGGTTCCTGAAGGCGTTCCAGTTCGCGTTCCTGCTGTGGCCCTTCAACCTGGCGCTGCCACTCGCGCGCCACCTGCCGCGGGCGTGCATCGCGCTCCGCGGGGTCGCGTCCTTCTACGACGCCGAGCTGCGGCGCTACGCCTACGCGGGCGCCGCCGCCCTGGCCGCCGTGCCCGTGCCCGTGCCCATGCAGCCGCGGAGCCACCGGTACGCCTCGCTCCGCGCCGTGCAGCAGAGGACGCACGGGGATGCCGTCGTCGCGCACGCCATGGTCGCGCTCGTCGACATCTCCTACTGATGACGCCGCTTGCAGCATTGCGACTCCACGCGCACTTCCCGGAGATCAATTCGCCGGACGAATTGAGTAGATCCAAAGTGATTCCTCAGTCTGTTAGCATGCCATTATCCGAGTGCAAATAACACAATACGTGTTCTGCTTCCCTTCATTCGTCAGCTGAGGCCTGTTCGTTTATCTTATAATCCGTTTTTTTAGCTTGTTTTTTCAGTCGAAACAGTATTTTTCTCTCACAACAAATCAGCCAGAATAGTGTTTCGGCTTGTTTTTTCAACGAAACAAACAAGGCCAAATTCGAGTTGCTTGATTTACCATACTTGAAGTCGTCAGTATGTCATTCAAGGTTACTGTAGGCATACCACGAGTCCAGAGTCCACGACGTGCCTAATTATTTGGAGGTCAACTCCTTATTACCGAGATAGGTCCCGCAATTTTCATGGTGCGCTTTATTGTTTTTGGATGGGGTAGATTGCCAAAAAGAAGTTTTGATTCATATATGTAGAGGTCCAAATAGCCACGGATAAGTTTATTATTGAAGTTGTCTTTTCTCATGTAACACAATTGGATAATGCTGCCTTAATGTAATCTTATTTTTTAGAGGTCGTTTTGTATCAAGTTATCTAACATTTGTAATACTTTGTTGTTTTTCTTCGTATACATCAGATACGAGGCACTCTTTGAGTGTCTTTCTAAAAAAAGGTTTGATTGGATCCACCTAGCTAAGAGCATCTCCAATAGTTAAAAAAAAGTAAATCAATGAGTTTTTCAAGTGGCTAAAAAAAGTTATAACCATACTTGTTGGGTTCCTCCAACGCTTTCCAGCTAAAACTTCTCTGGCAAAATTAATTTCTATCTACCGGAAATTCCAGGCTCTCGCCCTGGAAACCGGAATTTTTAGGTCCCCACCCCAAAAATTCTGGGCTGAATCAGGAGCGTGAGGATCAACACTGTGCTGCACTGAGTTGGGCCTGATTTTCTAGGCCACTAGCCCGAAATTTTTACATAGGACCTGAAAATTGCGCCAACGGTCAGTTGACTTAGGGGGAGTGAATTTATATCACTCCTCCCTTCCGCTCTCTCTCTTAGATATTTGCAAGTTTCACCTACTTTGAGACAAAGCACTTCAACTTTCTCCCTCTCCCAAACTCTCTCTCACTCAAGCTTAGATCCCCATCTTTGTGAGTGAGTTCGGAGTGCGATCTTCGTGCTTGCAACTCTGGGAGTAAGGTCCATCTCTTGAGCACTTGAGGCACCGGTCAGTGATTTGTTTTTTGTTCTATTACTCTTGGGTTCTTCCAACCCTAGCTGGCTAGGTGTTGCCAGTGTGTAGCACTCGATTCTTGCTCATCAAGTGCTCCATGAAGTTTGTATTACCCACATTGTTCTAGTGATATTTCTGGCTTGATCTTTGTGGTCGCAAAGGAAAGAGGGGAGTTGAAAGAGACTCTAAAGACCTTTGTGGTTGCCTCAACAACGGGGATGTAGACACAACTTTGTGGTGGCTCAATCTATATTGTGTGTAGGTGTTGAAGCAAGAGTAAGGGTGGAATCACTTTGTATTACATCTCTACACGTGTGGTGAAATTAATTTAGTGTTTGAGCATTTCCATTTTCATAACCCTAGTTAGCTCTTTTCTCTCCAAGACTAGGAAATTTGGTCCTCACCGGAATTTTTGACAAGTCTGGAAAATTTGATCAGGACTAGATATTCTAGTACCTGTGATTTAATCAGTTGCAAAGTTTTTAAGTTTCAGATTACACCTATTCACCCAATCACCCCCTCTAGGCATTGTGATCCTTTCAGCACTTGTATAGGATAGAGTCGTGTGTGTGCTCTGTTCTCCATGCCTTTTTTCCCACAGGGTTTTGGAATAGAGTTTTTAGTGAGGCACACATGCATAGGTTGCAAAGGGCGATCCTCGCGACTAGGGTTCAAGTTGTATTTGCACCTCTTCTAGTATGAGTATCTATTAGGTCATTTTGTACCGACCATATATAACCTAATAGCTGAGGGGCAACTTTTTTAGGGGGCATGAGGTATGTGGGACAAATTGAGAAGAGGCCCAACTAGTAGCTAGAGTAATATCATGTGAAATCCAACCCCACCAAAGGGACACTTGTAAATAGCCCTTGCCTATATAAGTGTACAAGGGCATGTGGGCAAGGGACCTCACCTCCCACTCATTTTCATTTTTCAAAACCGTTGTGTGTCCCCTCTCCACCATTGAGTTCTCTCCTCCCTCTCTCCTATTCAAAACCATCACTTCCAACACACTTAGCATTCATTATATCGATCAAAATATTATTGTGATCATCGGTTCAATATTCAATAGTTCAATAATTATTTAATGAGTTATTACATCCTTTAGTATTAAGTAAAGAACCTAAAGGAAAGAGAGACATATATTATAGTCGTCTAGACTAAAGAATGAATATCTATCTCGGTTAGGAATAGCGGTGTTAAAAATATATCATGACTAAACCAAATAGCGGTGTTTAACGGAGCTAAAATGTAATAGTGGAGCAATTAGTAATAGCTTAGTGGTAGACCTTCTGAAAAGCTATAGCAGGCAATCACTCCGCTACCAATCTCTTCAGCTCCGCTGCCTCCCCATGCGCCGCTGCATGCCAGGCGTCTGTGGCAGAACCGCCTAATCTAATGCCCTCTCAAGGGTACTTGTCTTTCATTAGACACTGAGTATCCAAGCGAGGACACTAAACTATGCAGTTTTGTCGAGCACACCCCAAGGGAGAACTAAAAAATCCACATTTTTTCGTCAGGATCATAAATGAGAGTATAAAGCTTACAACATCTTTAGCCATTTCTTACATCACTTTATTACAATAGCAGAATATTACCTCAATTGATTATAACAGCAGGAATATAACCATGTTATCAGAGTTTTCAGCGGAAATGTATATAACAACAAGTTCAAGCTCTAACATGAGAAACATTTATATACATGGAATGATAACAGACTGTAAGTCTTTTCCTTTGCAAAAACATTTTGTGAAAATTTTGAATAAACTCTACGTCAGCAACGTAAGGAAATCCTCGCTGAGCCCACCAAGAGATTACCACACCCAAGTGTAGCTCAACCGTACCTGTCACCTGCAACATGGGGAATAAAACCCTGAGTACTCAATTGTACTTAGCAAGACTTACCCGACAGGAGAAAGTAAAAAGACTCCTAGGATATGCAAAGCTTATTTTGATTGCTGGTTCATTGCCTTTGCGGAAAGCATTACTAATAGTGCGTCCTTATGTTCCAAGTTTCTAATAGTTGTTTTTAGTTACTTAGCTAACCATTCTAGGTGAGCACATATGCTACTTTCAAGCATGTGGATAAGCAATCAGAACCATTTTATCACTTTCTAGTTCTAGTTCTTACTATGGTACTAGACCATAATGACCCTCACAACCGCATAGAAGAGAGGTCGGGGAAAATCCCTCGCATTATCAGGACATAACGACCCTTGCAGCAACCTGAACCAAAAGCACGACCCCAAACCGATGGCTCAAGGGCTTTGGAAGCCCAAAAATTTATAGACACTAAGGGCGGGCGCCACCTCAATGGTGAGGCCAACTAACAACCCAAGGCCGAGCGACTCGGAGGAAGCACAGGCAACGTGTGCCCCCCTGCTCCTCAGCAAACGGCGCGACCTCGGGGACCACATGCCAGGGGAACTGCTGCCATCCCTTCGGCAACAAAGGGAGCTCGGCTATCACTGGCAAGCGGAGCGTGGAGGAGACATCATCCTAATCCACTCGACACGGAGCAGCATGACAAGGTCGCGCTACTTTGCCTTCCCCCTGCTCCACGAGTAGTCCCAAGCAGACATCGGGAGAACCTATAGCAGGATCCCAACATGATGCTGAACTACGCACAAGACTCAGGGAAGGGCCATAAATGCCTCTGGCCGCCGCACATTTCAAGCACACGAACCACCCAGGTTCGGGGAGCAAGAAGTGGCGGCGAGGGTAGCGAACCGATGTCGCGTTTGTCCCAACTCGGTGGCCATGCTACCTCTTGGTCCCCAACTCGCAAGTCACCTTCTAGCACTAGATGGTTAGAGGAGCAACATCGGTCCTCGGCCACCGCTAACGATCCCTAACGGATCATAGGTCCTCCCCTTTCTCTCTCAAGCTCAACCAGAGCAAAAACCAAGTTCATAGAAGTAACTGAAGGTGGCCTAAACGGTAAGAAGGCGCCTATTTATAGGACCAAAGGCAGCCCCTACGCCACTTGGTGTACCAAGGGAGGTCACAACTAATATCAGATGCCCACATGGGGCCGAGCAAATCGAGACTCTCATAAAGGCAGAATCGGTACAACGTCGATGAGATTACTCGGTCCCGTCTGGGTCACGAGCCCTTAGACGCAACACACTGACACGGCACACGACTAGGCTCGGCGGTCACGAGCCACGAGCGTCCTGATGGGGAGGAAGGCAAGCGGCCACCTACCGCATTGAACGTACCAGCCCGCAAGGGATCGGGCAGCGAAGCTCGGATAAACCAAGATGACGACCCCACGCTCTAACACGCACGCATATCAGCGCTTTCACGATCACTTCATGATCATAAAAACGCTCGAAGGCTACTGTTGGGGTCATAACCCTAGGGTGACTCAAGGCATCGATTAGTCGGCAGGCCACGCGCCCGCAATACATCAGCTAGCGAAGGCCCAAACGATAGAGGCCCAGCTGAGCTAAGCAAACTAGGTCGGACGCTAAGGCCAGGGTCAACCACGACCTCTTCCTCCTGCCTTAGCCGCACGGCGCTCGAAAGCGCGACAACCTCACCATCATCATGACCCCTAGAAGGGATGGGGAGAGGTTGAGCACCGCCAAGTATGCCTATTATGATAAGGGCAGGCACGCCTCACTGACCCCGCAAGGACCGAAGGGATAGCAGTCACCTCGGTCCGGTCAGACGCCAACCTGCGCCATGCAGATCGGATAAGACAACACCGCCCTAGGGCGGTGATGATAGGTACGAT